CAGGTTCGACTGCGTTGGTCATGGTCGTTTCAGCAGTGTTACCTCGTATAAAATACAATACGCTATCGCATTGCCAAAAAATGTTCTACAAGGCTTCTTCAAAAGCTTTATAGATCTTCACAGTGTCTAGCCTAACAATTTACACTACAGCATTAATTATTAGAAAGAAATTATGATACACAAAAAACGCACAACGCACTCTATCTAGTAAGAACATGCATAAGAAAAACAATAATATGACATTATAATAATGCACATGGATCAACATAATCGGTGGCTAAATCCATTCCTCCTCTTCGGGAGTTGCCGCTCCACCATTTCCAACACCACCAAAACCGGCAAAAGTGCTGGAGCTTGTGCCAGCCTCCAAACTAAGGAATTCAGGCACATCCTATATAGAATACATAATGATGCAACAAGTGATACGCATGCATTAGTATGCTCGGTGTGTGCCCCACCTGCCCGGCCTCTGTAAGAATCTCGACAAGACTCTGCGCCAGCTGTCTGTCATCGGGTGAATAATAGAACGAGGTGGCTCTTCCGGGATTACCAACTCTTCCCGTCCTTCAAAATTTTATGAATGTTAGGAGATGACGTTTTATTGGAATAAAAACCTTCCAATGCGGTGCACGTAATCTTCTCCATTTGTTGGAAGATCATAATTAATCACATGGTCCACGCCTTTGATATCCAAACCACGTTCGCCAACGGCTGTCGCAATCAGCACCTATGACTAGGAACATTCCATCAGGCAATAGATCGCAGTCGAGCAGTATGAAAACATCGATTTACAGGTTTACGACCATATTTGAAGTCGTTTATAGCTTCAGCTCGTAAGTTTTGTCCCCGATCTCCATGAATAGTAGTAGATGGGATTCCTGCTTGACACAGAAGCACACCAAGAGTATCGGCGAGGACCTTGCGTGATACGAAAACCATGGTTTTCTTTTTGAACACCTCCGCATCTGTAACTGATGGGATAAAATCAAAAATAAAACCAAGTACTTCAAAGGTATGAAGATAATACGCACCTTTGTGTGCGGTGTACGACTTTAAATCAACTTCAAGCAACTCAAGAAGCTTGTCCTTCTTTTGGTCTAATGATGTGATTTCAATTATCTCCTTTAACAAACATATTCAAGAAAAGGAAGTAGTAAAAGATTCTAACGCCCAATTTACCTGACGAATACATTTGTTAGCAACACCAATTTTTCCGCAAGTAATCATTAGGAAATCTGGTTTCAGCTGCTGGCCGGCTATTGCTTGTACTTCAGGTGGAAAAG